TGTGAAAAATACTGTTTAGTTCTTCATGTAATTATTAATAAAGTTAGAGGTGCATGTATCTTATTAACTCTATTTCTTAAACCTCCAGGAAGAAATCCCAGCCAGTGTGGACGCAACCTGAACCAGGCTGGCCAGCACCATCTGTGATTTGAGGGGCGTGTGATAAATAAAGTTGTGGGGTAGCTCTCTTTTGTGGACATCTAGCCAGCCAGTTAGATATAGAATCCCTCTTGGCAGTTGTTCTCTACTTGCTTTACCTGTAAAGGATTAACAAGTCCACAGGTAAAAGGAAAGGAGTGGGCACCTGACCAAAAGAGCCAATGGGAGAGCTAGAACTTTTTAAAATTGGGAAAAAACTTTCCCTTTGTTTGTTGTTGTTCTCTGGAGAGCGGAGACACAAAGCAGCAATGCTGTAAGCAGCTTTAAAACCAGGTATGAAAAAGCATCAATTCATACCTTGAACCTCAGGGCCTGTGACCTTTCCCTTGTGACACACCCTCATACACACTGCCTCCAAAAGACTGTGTGCCCCTCAGGGCCTGTAACATGGCCCTTGTGACACCTCCCACCCCTCCCAAACACTGCGCATCCCTCAGTCCCATCACCTGACCCTTCTGATACCCCCCCTTATGCACACTGCCTCCAAAACTCTGGGCGCCCCTCACAGCCAGTCAGCTTGCCCTTGTGACAACCCCGCATACACAAAGCATCCAAAACTCCAGGCATCCCTCATGGCTCGTCATGTGGCCCTTGTGACGCCCTTGTGACACCCCCCCATACACATTTCCTCCAAAGCACTGCATGCACCTCAGGGCCCGTCATGTGGCCCTTGTGACACACACCCCACATATACACTGTCTCCAAAATACTGCACACCCCTCAGGGCCTGTAATCTTGCCCTTTTGACACCTCTTTGTACACACTGCCTCCAAAACACTGTGGGCCCCTCAGGACCTGTCATCTAGACCTTGTTACACCCGCTGCCCAAGACACACAACCTCCAAAACACTGTGCATCCCTCAGTCCCATCACCTAATGCTTCTGACACCCCCCTGTGATGTTATTGACATGAATTGTGACCGTATAGATCATTGTTGCAACCAAAGTCCTATAGTTGCACCAAATCTTGTACAAAAGAGGTCATGTAAGGTGTCTATAGAAAGGTTGTAATTTGCTAATTATAATTATGCTGTCTGTATGTATGTATCCCATTTTTGTATTTGAAGTTATGAATATTGGGTACGTACTTGTATCTCAATGTGTTTGATTCTAAGTAGCCTCAGTGAAGCATTTTGTCAGCTTCTTGAGAAAGGACTATTCTCAGTAAGTGCCCAATCAAGAAACGGTTAACTGACAATGGAGTTTGGGAGACGCTAATACACATCTGAGCTTTCCTGGGAACGTTCAAATTAACATGTAAACAATGGTGTCGGCCTGCAAAAAGCTGAATCATTCATGGATATGTGACTTGCCCAGGTGGCTGTGATTTGCACAGAAGAACAAAGGGGTTTCCGCCCACAAGACAGAGAATATAAAAGGTCCTGGAGACCTCAGGACCTGGCTTGATCACAGAAACCCTCTTGGGACTGTCACCTGATGTGCTGAGACTACCTCTGAGCCCGTTTTCTCTGCTAGTTTGGGCCTCCAGAACCCTGCCTTGTTGAGCCAGACACCCCAGTCTGCTCCAACACAGACCCAGGGTCTGAACCACGCACCCCAAAGCTGCAGACTTAATGGAAAACAGCTTAAGAAGTGCTCCTGTCCCTAGCACCCAAACCCCAAATAAATCCGTTTTACTCTGTATAAAGCTTATACAGGGTAAACTCATAAATTGTCCTCCCTCGATAACACTGATAGAGCGATATGCACGGCTGTTTGCTCTCCCAGGTACTAATTACTTACTCTGGGTTCAATAAACAAAAAGTGATTTTATTAAGTATACAAAGTAGGATTTAAGTGGTTCCAAGTAATAACAGACAGAACGAAGTAAGTTACCAAGCAAAATAAAACAAAACACGCAAGTCTAAGCCTAATACAGTAGGAAACTGAATACAGTGAAGAGGGGGCTGGGATGCCTCCAGGATGCAGGATGGATGGTAGAGGCCGGAAAGGGTAAAATGAGGATGGCAGATATATTGTACCTGAGCCACAACGTGGGAAGCAGCTGCCTAAAGCCAGAGCCAGCCAAGGTGAAGGTAACCAGAGATTGGCCCATTCCTCAAATCGAGAAACAGGCCCAGGTCTCTAATGGGATGGCAGGGTACTCTGAAGCTTTGTACCCCACTTTAGCTCGCATTATGAAGCTTGGTAATTTGGGCAAGCCAGACATGGTGGTCTGGCCTAGTAGTGCCGGGGGTGCTCTGTGCGCTGAAGGAGGCTCTAATCCAGGGGCTGGTGCTGGCAAACCCAGACTTGGACAAATCCTTTAGGGTGTTCACCGACACCTCAGACGCAGGGCTGGGTGTGGTGCTGATTCAGGCCAATGCAAAGGGGGAGAGACATCCCATCATGTACCTGAGCAAGAAGTTGTTCCCCCGGGAGCAGAACTATGCGGCCATAGAGAAGGAATGCCTGGCCCTGGGATGGGCTCTTAAAAAAACTGCAGCTGTATCTATGTGGGCGGCGCTTTATGATGTACACTGACCACTCGCCCTGCCGTGGCTGCATTGGATAAAAGGGGCTAATGCCAAATTCCTACAGTGGAGTCTGTTCCTTCTGGATGATCATATAGGGGTGGTCCATGGTCCATGTTAAGAGGAGCATGAATGTTAAAGCCTATGCTTGTCTTAGAGACGGGGGGCTGAACTTCTCCAGGTTACTGGCTGGAGTGACCCCGCTCAGTTCAGACTCAAAGGGGGAGAGATGTGACAAAGTTGGGGATTTTGGTAGTGTTTTACATAAATAGTGTGTGCGTGCCTCAGTTTCCCTGTGTGCTGAATATTTAACAAGGTGGTGAGAGAGGGTTTGTTGTTGCAGAAGACCAGGTGTTACCTCGCCTAGCAGCTGGGACCCCAGACAACAGTCTGGAGATGGGGGACCCTAGCGACCGGTGACCTGGTGACCAAGAGGCCCAGCCCAGCTTGGAAGGCAGCCAGTGCTGGCCAGTGGGAGGCCAATGGGTTGAGGAGAGAGGACCCGGGTGACCTGACCAACCAGTTCCAGCCAGAGGGGGAGCAAAGGATGGAGGAGAGAGGCCCCCAGCTACCTGTTTACCTGGGATGGAAGACAAAGGACAGGGGAGGAGCTGTTGGGGCCTGTGATAGGTGATATAGAATGCCTCGGTTGGAAGGAGGGGGCTTCTGGACTGGAGAGAGAGCAGCCAGAGCCCACCTGGATGTGGGACAGACCTAGATGTACTGTGCTGAGGGATGCTAGGCCTGAGGGCCCAGAGAGTTTCCCATGCTGGGTTCTGATGCTCAATAAACCCTTCTGTTTTATGTTGGCTGAGAGTCACTCCAGTCTAGAGATCAGGGTTGCATTATTCCCTCTGGGGTTGGAGGCCCCGGGGGTCCAGAGCGAGTGGACTGCCTGAGGGGGCCCACATTGAGAGACAGGCATGCTGAGGGTCAGAGAGGTGCAGTTCCAGGAGGTGGAGGGGCCTACAGCTTAACCCCCGAGAGAGAGTGAACCCCTTGAAAAGGGCTGTGGCACTGAAGGGGGTTCCTCCCAGGGACCATACAGAGCTGGGGGAGAGCACGAGTACTGTGAGTCCATGACAACTTGAAACTGTGTTGTTTTTGTTTTCAAGGGGAACCTTCCTGGCAAACCCATACATCTCAGACTTTTGTACTATGCAAACGCAGAAAAATATTCTTGATTTCAAAGTGTTTTTTGCCCAGAACGTAGTTTACCCAAGCCAAACAGAACTCGGGCCTTATGAATTGTAGTATTGCCAATCCCCAAGAATTCAAAAATCAGGAGCCAGGCCCCCAGAAATCATGAGATTGGCTTAAACATAATGAGATTTATTATATCTATATGGTCTTTTTCCTTACCTCCTAGTTTCTGAGATTTCACGGTGCATTGTTTCACAATTTCAATATTTTCTCAGCAATTAAAAAAAAATCAAAAACCCAAAAGCTGAGATTCTCCTGCAACCAGTGGACTCCAGGAGGTGCGACTTTAAGAAAAACACCAAATGTCACAGGACTTACAGTGAAATCACCAGAGTTGGCTGCTTTGAAACAGCCAGTTCTCCTCTAGATGCGGAGCAGATTTTGAGTGAGCTCAATTTTTATTTGCAGAGTATCCTTTGAAAAAGTACTATTTCCTAGTGGGTAGAGCACTGGACTAAAAGTCAGGAAATTGGAATCTATTCCTAGCACTGGCCTGCTTCGTTACATCACCGCTCTGTGCCTCAGTTTTCCCGTTTGTAAAAGGAAGATAATAATTCTGACCGCCTTTGTAAAGTGCTTTCAGATCTACTTATTAAAAGAGGTAGGTGGTGGTGTTATTTTGACTCATACAGTAATTATATAGAGCTTTGATTTCAATGAAAGTTATGAATGTAAATGTCTTTGAGGATCTAGGTCATGGTCCTTGTTCTGTGCCCCCTCGTTCTTCCCCCAAACATACTGTTTCACCCAATCCTCTTCCAGGAAACCCTACGAAACCAAGCTAACCAGCATTGTTGGAGCATCAAAGATTAGGGTTAGCTAGCTGATCAGAACCAGATTTCTATCCCTTGCAAAGAAATGCATTCCTGAGCCTTCTCACTGGGAAGGGAAGTGGGAGTATCCAACCATGTCCACCCCCTACCTCGCTCCCCCCTTACTCCTGCATTCCTATGGGCGTGGCTTGCACTAACCTTCCACTGTCATTACTATAATTATCAGAGTGATTGGGAGGCAAGGACTGCAGCAGTGATTCAACTGGCTAGCTCATATCCTTGACAGAGACTGTGTTAATATAAGAGCAAGGCTCTTGGAGCGTGGGCCAGTCTGCAGGAATTTTCCCTCACAAGGTGGCTCGTTGGTTTTGTTCGCCCTTCCCTGAGGGCCATGTTAGCCAGGGGTGGCTTGCGTCTGCCAGCTTTAGCCAATCCCAGCAGCCTGTGGATCCTCTCCACTACCAAGGATGGCCAGGTCCCCGGCTACCGCAGGGTTTACACAGCCGCTGGCGAGGTGTACCCTCCTTCCCTCCAAGGGAAGGTGGCCCGGTCCTTCAGCGAGCTCCCAGGCAACTGGAGAACAGGCTGGCTTAACCTCTTTCACTTCTGGCAGGAGGGTGGCTTCCACAACGTCCACAACATCATGATCCACAAGTTCCAGAAGTTTGGACCCATTTACAGGTAAGAAGCTGTGAGGCAGGCCCCACTTGGGCAGCAACAGCTCTCCTTCTGCTCTGCACATCCCTGCTAAGGGCAGCTCAGTGGCATAAAAGAAAATATGGGGATCAAGTGTGTATAGGTAGGGTGTTGAGGTACCACGGTCTAGTGGGTTGGGCAATAGAGCAGGAGCCTGGAAACTTGGGTTCTCAGTGCCTTATGGGACAATCTTATCCATCTGCCCCTCCATTTAGATCCACTTTTGCCTCTGTCCCCAGGGACCCAACTCCAGTAGTATAAACTGAGGGGCAGTGTGGTCTAGTGGATAAGGCTGGGAGTGAGGCGACCTGGGCTCTAGTGCCAGATCTGGAACTGACTTGCTGCATGACAGTGGGCAAGTCACTGGCCTCTTTGTGCCTCAGTTTCTCAACCTACCCTTTGGCTATTGAGATGGTAAGGTCTTTGGGGCAGGCCCCTCTCCCCCCCACAGTGCCTAGGACAGAGGGACCCTGATTTCAGTGACTGGAACACTAATAGTCTAGCAGGGTCAGGTCTGAAAGATCCTTCAGTGTCTGGTCTGGGCCAGTTTTAGGGGTGACAGGAAGTCTCAGCTGGTGGCTTAACCAGAAGGCCACCCTTCCTCTCTATGTAGGTTTGTACATCTAGGAGCTCAGACACCATGGGGATGGGCAGTAATACAAAACCCCAGTGTATGAACATGTAACATTACACAGTGTAATTTCACTCTGTCATTGCAGCACATGCCCAACTCAACCAACAGTTAATATAACAGGGCAAGGGGCCCTGGATTTACCCTTCTATCTGCAAATCAAAATAGTTGTAGCGTGTAACTGTACCGAGAAAGCCAACATGGGATCGAAGTGGCCATTTACATTGTTCGATACATTTTCATTGTTGCTCTGATCACATTCCCTTGGCTGGCAGAATCTTTGGGACTCTATTATTAACAGCAAACTTCTCTCCAAACTGTACTTAGTACAAGGCTATGGGTCAGATTCTAAGCTAGCAAAAGTCAGGGGATTTCTACAGGTTGCAGTGGAGCTGTGTCCATTTACACCAGCTGAGGTGCTGGCTTTATATTTTTCATCTCAATGTTTTGCTTCCACCAGTATCTCTCTAGCCCAGGGTTATTTTAGTCATGAGAAAACCTCATGGGCCCAAATTCACCCCTAGACTTAGTCTTAGGGATTTGACCCACTACCTTGTATAGCTGTTACACAGCTGGGGCTAGTTTAGTCTGCATGGGCCTGATCCTGAAGCCCTTATTCTTTATTTGTGCTCAGTTCCCTTTGGAAGCAATAGGTGTTTTGCCTGGGTAACTAGAGTCTGATCTTGGGTGGTGTTGATCTCCGGCAATTCCCATTGGTTTGGAGTTGCAGGTGTTGGCAGCTCCCAGGATCAGACCCTTAGGAAGGACATTTAGGGGGAGGCCCTATGGAACAAGGCTGTGGGATGTGGCTGTGATGTAGTTTAGAAGACAGATTGTGGCTGGGTGTTCAAGGGGAGCTGCTCCTTGCACTTAGGCCCTGTGGACAGCCACAGATAATTCTTGCATGATCCGTGTGAAAGGCTAGTGGCATGCACCATGCCAGCCTTCCCAAAGAGGTTGTTGTGGGGCAAATGGATGGTGCAACCATGGCTCTGTGCCAGTTAGAGCAGCTGAGCCAGTATGAAGGGGTGGAGGGGAAATAGATGCTGCCTTCTTGATACATGTGACAAAGCTTCCACGTCAGTGCGCCAGGGGGAATTCTGGCTGAGTTCTGACAGCTGCACAGCCCTTTTGTCCCACGCAGACTCAGGCTGTGGCTCCAAAGCCACAATGCAGCCTGCTCAAATTCTTCACTGTGTGCACTGGGCAGACAGGAAGAGTGACCCTTTCCCATGTGATCGCCCCTTGATCACATCAAGAGTTACAGACCCAGAGCAGCTGCCCCACTAAACCCAAAAGGTAGCCCAGGATGTTAAGGCACATTCATAGATTAAGCTTCACTGTCTCCCTATGAGGTAGGTAACTTATTACCCCTGCTTTACAGGTGGGAAAACTGAGGCATAGGGAGGTTAAGGCCAGCATTTTCAAAAGTGGGTACTTTTTTCGAAGGTGTTGAAACTTGATATCAAGGCTTCATGCAAGGCTGCCAGGTAATTGATACTTTGGATTGGTGCAAGTGCCCCTAAAATATGGTTCTGGGCAACTCATTGTCTTCAGGCAGAAGAGGAAGGGTGGTTCAGTAGTTAGGGTTCTAGCCTGGGATGCTGGAGACCTGTGTTCCTGCTCAACTACAGACTTCACATGTGACCATGGGCAACTCACTTACGCCCAGATTTGTAAAGGTACTTAGGTATTGCTGCACTCAGTGTTGTAGCAACCTAATTTATTTAGGAGCCTAAATCTCATTTGCAAAACGGATTTATGCCCTTAGGAGCCAAATTCCCATTGAAAGCCAATGGGATTTAGAATCCTAGGTGCCTAAATCACTTTTGAGAATGAGATTTAGGCTCCTCAACGAGTTAGGTGTTGCAAGACTGAGAACACCGATGCCTAAGTATCTTTCAAAATCTGGCCATTAGTTTCTCTACACCTTAATATACCACTTGTGAAATGGGACTAACATTTCCCTTCCTCACAGAGTTGTTAGGACAAATACTTCAAAGCCCATGGCGGGCTCAGATTCCATGGTAACGGCGACCAGCTGTGTTTTAGGTAGAATCATTATCAGCAAGATATTGGTAACAGGAAGGCAGTTCAGAGAACAGCAGCAAAGGGGTTGAGTGAGGAAGATGAAATTAGCTAAATATGTGCAGTTTAGCTTGGCAAACAGCCAGGAGGATTATTATCATGCTATGACAGGGTATGATATTAAGAAAGGAAATAAAATCAACTGACCAAAATTCCTGAGTGTAAGACTAACGAAAACTCTCCCAATGGGAACAGCTTGGGGCTACCCCTGTATTGGACAGGAAATCGTAGCTCATTCAATCTAACTCATTTCCATGTCTAATTCCTGTGATGGCCCCTTTTGTCCAAGGACTGGGAGCAAAATCAACAAACATTAAACTAAACAAGCCTCACAACACCCATAGGAGAGAGGAAAATATTATTGTTGTTCTAATTTTACGGAAGGGTAAACAGAGGCAGGGGAAGGGGGCATGACTTGGATTCAGAGAGGGAGTCAATAACAGAAGACAGTTCTCCTGGATGCCAATCCCATACACTAATCACTAAACAAATGCAGAAGTAGTAAAAACAGAAGGGAAGAGACCTCTTGGGTCACTGAGCAGGGGCGGCTCCAGGCACCAGCACACCAAACGCGTGCCTGGGGTGGCAAGCCGCGGGGGGCAGCCTGCCAGTCGCCATGAGAGCGGCAGTCAGGCAGCCTTTGGCGGCATGCCTGCAAGAGGTCTGCCGGTCCCTCAGTTTCAGCGGCAATTTGGCGGCGGGTACGCCGAAGGCACGGGACTGGCGGACCTCCCGCAGGCATGCCACCAAAGGCTGCCTGACTGCCGTGCTTGGGGCGGCAAAATACATAGAGCTGCCCCTGTCACTGAGTGCAGTCTCCAGTCATAATCCCAGATAGATTATGAAGCACTTGTTAAGGGCTGGTCCAAAGCCCTTTGGAGTCAGAATGGCCAAGTGATTTTTGGAGCATATGTCTTATTGGGAGTCAATGGGATTTGTGCTGCTAAGTCAATTGGGTGCTGCTGAAAAGCCCATCCTCTGAGTTTCAAGTATGGGAGGTTATGCGTGTTATTTATGTCATAAGAGTTTTGATAGTGGCCTATTTTCACATACAACATATGCCCATGGGCAACTGCAATGGGCATGTTTTAGACATTTCAAGTTAATTAAATACATAATTCAGAAGACAGGACTTGATCCAGAGTTCATTGGTGTCAGTGGAAAGACTTCTCCAAACTTTGGAGCAGGCCCATAGTTTTGATCAGCAGCCAGACTTTTAGGTGTGTATCTATGCTGAACAGAGACTCTGGCCCTTGTAAATTTCCCCCATTGCTACTCATGGGGTACCAGTTACAACTCCTGCCCCACTCAGCATTTATCAGGGTCAGCAAGTGAGGTTTTCTTCAGGGCTCTTTGCTTGTGGGAGTGTCCTGATCCCCTGTCAAATGTCACAGGGAGAAACTCGGCCTCTACCAGAGTGTGAATATCATTAACCCCGAAGATGCTGCTACTCTCTTTAAATCGGAGGGCAACTACCCAGAGAGGTTCATGGTGCCACCTTGGGTGGCCTACCGTGACTTCCGCAACAAGCCATATGGAGTGCTTCTCAAGTAAGTAAGGTCTATAAAAGGGTATGCTGGGGAGTGAAGTTCCCTTTCTAATGACAAAAGTAGCTGGGCTCACCTTTATGTAGTAATCTAGGAAGGAAGGAAATGTAGCATGATGTGAGAAGAGGAGCATTGTCATAGTGATGCCTCTGAATTTGGAGCATCAGCTGGGGAGAGAAGTGGGTTGGCACCTAATTCTTAGGAAACTGTCTGAGGCTCAGGTGGGTCAGGTAGGTTTACCAGTAGTAGAGAGTCAGGTCTGGTCTCTTAACTGGAGCACATGCCCGTCCTCCTTGATCCCTAGCTTACACTCCCCATGCAACTTGTTTCCCTGCTGCTAGGACCCGTGTGACTGTCAGGCCAGGACTCTGGCCTGGAACATGTGACTCTAGGTCTGGGAAGGAATTCACATGGGAACAGACCAGCCAGGGCATGGCAGCTGGACAGGAAGCAGTGGGTGCCACTCAGGGAAAATCAGTCTGTGTTGCTTCGTGGGCGAGATGAGGAGGGTTGCAGAGGTGGGTAGGGGCTGGGTGTAGGGCGGAAGAATGGGTTTATACTGTGCCCTGCCCTGAAAGGTGGAACATATCAGGGAACACAGTGATGTGAGTGATCTTCCTTTGATTTTCCCAGGAAGGGAGAGGCGTGGCGCTCCGACCGCCTCATTCTGAATAAAGAGGTCCTGTCCCTGCAGGTGATTGACTGCTTTGTGCCCCTGTTGAATGAGGTGGGCGAGGACTTTGTCAAGAGGGTCCGAGTCCAGATCGAGAAGAGTGGCCGGGGGAGGTGGACGGCCGACCTCACCAATGAGCTGTTCCGCTTCGCCCTGGAGTGTGAGTGGGCTGGGCTGGCATGCTGCAGCTGCCTGTGGGCGTCCATTTGCTCAGTGGGGGCACCTGGGGCTGGGGGAAGCAGAGAAAAGCTCCTGCTGAGCTCAGTCAGTTTACACTAGTGCAGACCAGCCACCCCAGACATGCCACTGATTCCTGTGACTTTGCAAATGGCCCCTTATCATTAGAAGGGGTTGAACCATACCTATAGGGTCTGAACACCCTTAGGAGGTGGAAAATCCACCCTTTCTGCTTAGGAAAATCTGTTTGGATGAGCACCCAAGTGACCTTCAGCAGAACCTCTTCAGCTTGAAAAAAACTCCATGGGTTAGAATCTGTCAGTGTCTAACCTTATGCCTCAGACTGCAATGCGAAGTTCTGCAAGGATCATCCAGAACCTCTCTGCCCATCGTGTCTGAGTGTCTTGTGGATGAAATATATTTATAGGACCACATCCACAGCTGGTTTAAGTCACCACAGCTCCACTGAAGTCAATGGAAACACATCAATTTACACCAGCTGGCCCCTGAACTGTGTCTATGACTACTCATGGCACTTCCTCCAAGAATACAGTTGATGGCTCCAGAGTCCTGGCCAAATTTCAGCTGGAGTCATCGTGCCTCACCAAACCCTCTCTGCAGCCTCAGCTACATGTAGTGCTCTTTCTTCGTGTCCTGAACTGTTGTGCAGTGTCGGCTGACCCTGAAATACTGCCATTTCACCACAGAGGTGGTTGCATTTCAGTCCTAGACACTGCGTTTTATATATATAACGACAAATATGTTAGTGCTAGACTAAAGATGGGTAGAAATGACCCCTCTCTGGAGTGAAGATCTTGGAATGATGTTGGATAAGAGATACTATATCTTACACACAATAGAACTACATAAAAAAGAACATTAAGGTTGTAAAGCCAAGCTCTTGGAAGCTAGGAAACGCCAGATTTACGGTTGCCTGTGTATCCTTAATAGACAGCACTACCAGCCCTACATATAAACATACTGTGCAATGGAGGTGCTTGTGGCCAATGGCCTCCGATCACCCCAGAGTGACATTTTTGGGGATGTTGGAAGTTTTGGGTTCTAACCCTAACCCTTGCCCCTGCAGCCGTGTGCAACGTCCTGTATGGAGCACGCCTCGGGCTCCTGCAGGATTTAATTGACCCCGAGGCGCAGAAGTTCATCGATGCCGTGACCCTGATGTTCCACACCACCTCACCCATGCTCTACATCCCGCCCAGCCTGCTCTGCAGGATCAACTCTAAGACCTGGCGGGACCATGTGCAGTCCTGGGATGTGATTTTCAGGCATGGTGAGAGCTCATGTGCACTGCTGCATAGATCTCACCCATCTTAGAGTAAGGCTGGTGGCTAGAGCAGGAGCGTTCATGCTGTCATGTGGAAGGTCCCAGAGTCAGTATCATACTGCCACAGATGAGAAGTTGTTGGAGCATCATGCAGGGAAAAGGATGGATTTGCACAGAAAATAGCTCTTGCTCATAGGAAGGGGTGACTCTGGCAAGATACTTGCTCCTTGCTATACTGAGGGCTCTGATATGTTGCCAGGGTCTCTTAGATGGAAGACAGCAGGGATAGCACTGCTGGAGGAGCTGGTGGGGTTTTCTGTGGTGCAGGAGGGATCACTCAAGTGGCTTCAGTTGGGGAATTATAGGAAAGATATGAAGTGTCAGGAAAGTGCAGGATTCCCCATACTGTCCTTGGGTACCAGATTCTAGCCAGGGTTGGCCAGTCTGGGAAAGCCCAATGATCTGACCCATGGGAAAGCCACACAGTTTTTGGCTGGGGCTGGTGAGATCCTTTGACTTAAGAGATGCCATTAAAAAGCCACTCAGTGACAGCACCTTAGCATTCTCAGGAGTCTCAGGGACCAGGGGCTCAGAGGTGGGGTGGGGTGGCATGGGGAGTGGGAGGAGGGCTGGGCCCTTATAGATGCTGAATTTACTGCTTTGCTTTTTCTCCCTATCTCCCTCCCGCTTTTCTCAGCTGACAAGTGCATCCAGAACATCTACCGAGAGCTCCGGCTGGACCGGAAAAGCACCAAGGAATATACTGGGATCCTGTCCAGCCTCTTAGTACAGGACAAGCTGCCCATCGATGACATCAAGGCCAACGTGACAGAGATGATGGCGGGCGGGGTGGACACAGTAAGGATGAGCCTCGGGGATTGGGGAGAGTGCCATTGTTGTGGTGGTGATTGTGACAGGATCCCCCCTGGGGTGCAGCCTCAGACTGTGGGACCGCTGTTCCCCCTTAACTCTCTCCAGCCTGGGCTGTATCTCACAATGCCTTGCTTGTGACCAGCAGCAACCCCTCCAGGTGCTATTATTACTCAGCACAACTACATGTGGAGACCCCACACCCAGCAAGATTGCATGAATGCACCCAGAGCCACTCATGAATCACACAAAGAAAGGCACCAGAGCCAACCCCCCCAGCTCCCAGCACTGTACCCCAGGAATATACTGTCTTGCACTGCTCAAGATGAGGAGTGCAAATTTATTAATTGGTTCATCACTTCAACAATGGAAAGTGGATATACACTAGCCTTTGTACCCTGAGCAGATTTGCCCCACACTTCATACAAACTCACTGGTAAAGATAACCAGTAAAACAAATTTATTGACTATAAATGATGGATTTTAAGTGATATTAAGTGATAGGCAAAAAGTCAGAGTTAGTTACCAGAAGAAATAAAATATAAGCAATGCAGTCTAAACTCTCAACCTTATTAGACTGGACAACATCTAGATTAAGCAGTTTATCTCACCCCACAGGATATTGCAGTCCTTAATATACAGGTTTGTTCCTTAAACCTGGGCCAATCTCCCCTGTTGGAGTCTTGTCTTCTTCTCCATGTCTTGTGTGCTTGCAGCATAGGTGGGAGCAGAAGGGCCTAGTATGTGTCCACTCTGTCTGTTTTATACCCTCAGTCCATGTGCCTGGAAAACACAAGTCCAGGTATGTCTGGGGGGGCATTGCTGAGTCTCCAGGCAAAGTTGAGCAATCCCCCTGATGTGGCCTCATGCAGGTGAGTCATTGCATTGTAGCTCCCTTGCTGGACAATGGCTGTTGATGGGTTGTTTCACACCCCACCTGGGTGTTGGTTACTCTTCTTGCTGTTGCCTCTGGGGAGCTATCTGTCTGATTCCCCAATTTACAGCATGTTTCAGTGACAACCATACAATACAATTCTCATAACCTCACATGCATTAATGATGCACATATATGGATAGAGAAATGACTTTCAGCAGATCGTAACCTTTCCCGGATGCCTTACAAGGCATGCTTTATATGTAATATCACAATTATATACAGATGAGGAATATGGAGTTAGAGGCTCATATTTAAATGTGTGATAACTTTGACATTAATGGAAAATATGCACACATGATAAATGTACTTTAAAAGTGTCATGACTGTTTTTAGCAGTATGGATTTGTGGAAATATTCCACAATGAAGTGAAATAGAGGCACAGTTATAGAATGCTACATAAATGTCAGCACTCATCCTCTTGTGGAGAATTAATCTTACAGGCAAGCCACCTACCATTATCCTTAACTTTGAAGAAACTTTGAAACAGAGTGCTCTCTCAAGGTACAGAACATGCCAGCAATATTGCAATATCTGTGGTAATTGCTGTGTACTAGAAGGTTTAGGGGAGAGAATTCATTATCACCTTGGACCTGGCATTTCACTAAGGAGCAATGGTGGAACCTCAACATAGTTCCCTGTTTGCATATCCTGGCTCTGGCACCCCTCTGATGGCGTAAGTGCCCCCAGATGACTTTTCCACACTGCTCCTCAAAGGAGGATGCTCGTGGTGGAGTACACAAGGCAGAGAATGGCAAATGTTGAGAGCTTGGAACTGGAGTTCTGGCACCTGAGTGCCTCACTCCCATAGGCTCTTCTAAAAGTCCCGGCCCGTAACACTTCATCAACACAGGGGCTTTTCTCTGAGCATCTCAAGGTGCTTCATTAAAGCCACACAACCAGGCCCCCTTGTCAGAAAGGGAAACTGAGGCACAGAGCGGAGACATGGCATGCATGGGTCACCCAGAGAGCAACATCCCTAGGGTCAGAACCCAGTTGGTGTTGAGTTCTAGGCGGTTCCCCTGTGCCTTGCTCTAGACCCCCATGACCATCCTCTGTGCCCTGCTCTAGACCTCCATGACCCTCCAGTGGGCCATGTTCGAACTGGCTCGCACTCCAGTGGTGCAGGAGCAGCTGCGGGCGGAGATCTTTGCGGCCAGACAGGCAGCACAGGGTGATATGCTGAAGATGTTGAAAGCCATCCGGCTGCTCAAAGCTGTCATCAAGGAAACGCTCAGGTAAGGAGTTTTCCTTTTCAAGATAGTGTAATCAGTTCCTGACCCCCACCACTTTCTACCCAGATGTGGGTCCACAGATGCCTGCCTTCTCTCTATGGGAGTTCAGCCTGGTACTTAGGTACTTATACAACCCCCAGCACTACAGAATCTGAGCACTGGAGCTGGAGTTTTTTACCATTGAAGAAAAACAAGTGTCTCCCTTGAATGGCTCTTGAATCCTCTTAGAACAGTGGTTCTCAAATTTCATTGCACCGTGACCCCCTTCTGACAACAAAAATTACTACACGACCCCACAACTGGGGACCAAAGACTGGTCAGGGCAGGGCGGGGCCAAAGCTGAAGCCCAAGGGCTTCTGCCCCGGGTGGCGGGCATGTAACCTTAGCCCTGGGCGGTGGGGCTTGGGCTTGGGCTTCAGCCCTGAGTGGTGGGGCTTGGGCTTGGGCCCTAGGCCCCAGGAAGTTTAACACCAGCCTTGATGACCCCATTAAAATGGGGTTGTGACCCACTTGGGGGTCCCGACCCACAGTTTGAGAACCCCTGTATTAGAAGATAACGGGTCACTACCTACTTACCTATGGAGCTATCACCTTAGTTCTAGTGGGAGGGTTCTGTGCTTTTGATGCTGGAGGTGTCTGGTTCTCTGCCAGCATAGTGGGTTTGCTACAGTCCATCTAACACACTTTTTCATCAGTGCAGCGTTTATGACTTAGCAACAATGGAAACATTTTGAGAGAAACTGATGCAAAGGGTGATAAATTTGCCTCCTTAAAAGGCAATTATCTGAGCACCACAGAGCACAGCACTGTTGTCCTTCCACAAAAATAAGTTCACAGAATTGGAAGATTCCTCCATCCCTCCCCCAGTGGGTTCACCATAAAGTTTCCAGTTTGCTTTTCCATGACAATTTCTCTGAGCGTCAAGGAAACAGGAGAAGAGAACAAATATGAAGTCATTGCTAACTCTGGGTCACTGCTACACTGAACAGTGCCTTTGCAGACTGACAAATAGGCCCATGCTGCAAAGTGTCATGTACCCCTTGTACACGGGAGGTTGCAAGGCTGCTACTTGCAGGTCAGACTTCTGTACCAGATTTGGCCTGGCTACAGAGAGATCCAATATATGTGTTCTTTTTAAAATACCTTAGAACACGGCTAGGTTTGCTGTTACTAGTTCTGGTAAGGGATGCTATGCACTGTGCTGCCTAGCAGTTGAAAATTATAATACAGTTTTAGACTAGAACCATAGAATCATAGGATTGGAAGGGACCTTGAGAGTTTATATGGTCCAGTCCCCTGCACTCATCCCATAAGATACCATGAGTAAGGATATCACTAAACTGGTTCTCTCTGTGTGTGAGCAGCTTCCTCGACTCCTCCATGACCCACTCTGCCCTTGCATAGGAGACGCATGGCACATCCGCTGCTTTGAAGACCTGTGCCTGTGGATCAAAGGGAGGGGGCATTTTGTCTGGTCTCTTTTTGAAAGCTTTCCTACTGCTTCCTCGTATTTCAGAATCTTTAATATCAAGCACTCAAGAAACTTTGAAAAAATAGCACCATTGATAATTGATTCCAACATTGACAACCCCAGGAAATCAGTTGAATTCTTTTGTCTGTCTAATATTGGCCTCATCAATCTCCCATGACAGAGAGATAGGTGGCACAAGGATGGGGATTAATAATAAACTTCATGGGTCTGCAAGAGATGTGCTCAAGAGTTCTGAGCACATTATGTGCAAACACAAAGCCAAAGAAAACCTAGACAGCTTTGGAAGAGATCCTTCAGGACTGCCGATTGCTGCCATAATAACAGTGTGTTCCCATCTGCCACTGACACCAGATCTAACCTTGGGAAATGGCAGACTAAACTAATAAAGCCCTGCACGTGCAGGAGCAAAGCTACTCAAAGATTGCAGTGCTTGCTTCAGAGAGGAAAGTTCTGAATCAATTTAAAAGGCTAGGAGTCCAGCTCTGCAGGCAGGACAATGGGAGAAGGGGAACCTGTCCAAAGAGAATTTTCATCTGGGCCAGCACATCTAGGCCCATGCTGGGACTTAGGCCTGGTCTACACTACGACTTTAATTCGGATTTAGCTGCGTTAATCCGAATTAATCCTTAACCCGTCCACACAACGGAGCCAGTTACTTCGAATTAAAGGGCACTTAAAATCGATTTCTGTACTCCACCCCAACGAGCGGAGTAGCACCAAAATCGATTTTGTTAATTCGAATTAGGGGTAGTGTGGCCGCACACCACCGAATTAATGTGGTTAAAAACCGAATTAATGTGCTTAGTGTGGCCGCGCACAATCGAATTTATACAAGCTGTTTCCCAAATTCGAATTATCTAAATTCGAATTAATCTCGTAGTGTAGACGTACCCTTAGACTCCTTCCCATTGCAGACACTAAACTGCTCGTGCCAGGGAGGGTGCTGGGCTGCTAGATGTGCATTACTTAAAGAGCCAGATCTTCAGCTGTGGCAAATCAGCATCAGTTCATTGACTTAATTGGAGTTATTTAGATTTACCCCAGCTGAAGATCTAGCCCCAAGCTTCTGCTTCTCCCTGCTGGTGGCCAGGTGGACATTAAACAGCTTATAGCAAAAAACACAAAGACAACAGGGAAGAGCTCTGGTTTCATGGCCATCATCTCCACCCTCTCAATGAAACAGCTTCTCATACCCAAGGCTACATGAGATATTGCTGTGCACATAATGACTGCTAGATTGGCAGAGATGTTGATCTTGGGGCAGAGACTGTTTTTTTTATTCTCTGTACAGCACCTGTACAGTGAGTAGACCATGCCTGGAGGTGGCTCTGCAATAATATAAATAATAATGAATGATTTTTCTAACACATTCATGTGTTAAGTGCTTTGAGCCTGATTTTGATAATTTACACCAGTGGAATTGCATAGACAGACCATCAAGTGACTCCTGATTTACCTCAGGAGCAGAATTGGTCCCCTAGAGGATATCAGGAAATGTATTTAGGCTCTTAAACTGGCATTGTGGGTTCAGTCAAACGGAGACATTGACAAACATGAGGTTAGAGGAGAATGGCTCAGAAGATGGGAGAACTGGCATGTAAGACCCATGGAAAAAGCTTGAGAGGATTGGACACATCCTTTGTGGAAAACTGTATCACAGTGATGCATGGCGGCTGTATGCATGGGGTAGCATGGAAAGGACCGTGATCATGCAATCAAGGAGGACAGGACAACACATCTTAAATTGCAGCTGGGACAGTTTAGGCTAAATATTAGGGGTAGTGTTATAGGACCAGTTTGTTGATAGCACAAATTGTCACTGGAATCACTTACCATGGAGTGATTCAAGACTAGATCTTACGCCCATCTGGCAGAATTGGCTTTAGGCATCATGTGTCTTATCTACACTGGGAATTTTCCCCAGTTCTAGCAATAACTGTTCAGCGACCAGTGTTTGGATTGGTGGACCCTGCTGGAAACCAGGGTCAATCATGCTTCAATGCAAGGAAATGGGCTAGATGACTTGCTAGCGTTCCCATCCCATTGAAGCAATATGCTGGTTTGATCAGCTACCCAGCCAGCATGCTGTGCACAATGGAAACTGTCTTAAGCAATGTGACAGGGCCATAGCTGGGCTCCCACCAAACTACTACTGAGTTCCCAGGCAGGTGCACAAAGTAAAAGGGGTTTTTGGCTGTCACTCCTTTCAGGCAGGGTCCCACACACAGCAGCAACAGGCAAGTCACATGGAGCACATTCCCTGTCAAGCCGACCTTCCCTCCTCTGGGCTTCTGGCCCCAAGTCAGACTTTCCTCATAGAGTAAGATCTGGGAAGCTGCTCTCCGTCCCAGCCAGACTCTACAGAAGCTGGGCTGTCCCGTTTTAACACCTCCTGACACAAGGGCGGTGGATTAATCGCACTTAAATCATGTGATTAACTAAAAAAAAATTTAATGATGATTAATCGCAGTTTTAATCACACTGTTAAACAATAGAATACCAATTGAAATTTATTAAATATTTGTGGATGTTTTTCTACATTTTCAAATATATTGATTTCAGCTACAAGACAGAATACAAAGTGTACACTGCTCACTTTATTTATTATTTTTATTACAAATATTTGCAGTGTAAAAATGATAAACTAAAGAAACTGTATTTTTCAATTCACCTCATACAAGTACTGTAGTGCAATCTCTTTATCGAGGAAGTGCAACTTAGAAATGTAGATTTTTTTTTGTTACACAACTGCAACCCAAAAACAAAACAATGTAAAACTTTAGAGCCTACCAGTCCACTCAGTCCTACTTCTTTTTCAGCCAATCGCTAAGACAAACAAGTTTGTTTATATTTATGGGAGATAATGCTGTCCGCTTCTTATTTACGTCATCTGAAAGTGAGAACAGGCACTTTTGTAGCCAGCATTGCAAGATATTTACATGCCAGATATGCTAAACATTCGTATGCTTCATGCTTCAGCCACCATTCCAGAGGACATGCTTCCATGCTGATGACGCTCGTTAAAAAATAATGCATTAATTAAATTTGTGACTGAACTCCTTAGGGGAGAATTGTATGTCTCCTGCTCTGTTTTACCCACATTCTGCCATATATTTCATGTTATAGCAGTCTCGGATGACATCCCAGCACATGTTGTTCATTTTAAGAATACTTTCACTGCAGATTTGACAAAACAAAAAGAACATACCAATGTGAGATTTCTCAAGATAGATACAACACTTGACCCAAGGTTTAAGAATCTGAAGTGCCTTCCAAAATCTGAGAGGGACGAGGTGTGGAGCATGCTTTCAGAAGTCTTAAAAGAGCAACACTCTGATGCGGAAACTACAGAACCCGAACCTCCAAAAAAGAAAAATCAACCTTCTGCTGGTGGCATCTGATTCAGATGATGAAAATGAACATGCATCGGTCTGCACCGTTCTGGATTGTTATTGAGCAGAACCCATCATCAGCATGGACGCATGTCCTCTGGAATTATGATTGAAGCATGAAGGGACATATGAATCTTTAGCGCATCTGGCACATAAATATCTTGCCACACTGGCTAGAACAGTGCCATGCTGTCACTTTCAGGTGACACTGTAAACAAGAAGCGGGTGGTATTCTCTCCCACAAATATAAACAAACTTGTTTGTCTGAGCCAGTGGCTCTCAACCTTTCCAGACTACTGTACCCCTTTCAGGAGTCTGATTTGTCTTGCATACCCCCAAGGTTCACCTCACTTAATAACTACTTGCTTACAAAATCAGACACAAAAATACAAAAGTGTCACAGCACACTGTTACTGAAAATTGCTTACTTTCTAATTTTTACCATATAATTATAAATCAATTGGAATATAAATACTGTACTTACATTTCAGTGTATAGTATATCGAGCAGTATAAACAAGTCATTGTCTGTATGAAATTTTAGTTTGTAAAATTCACTAGTGCTTTTTATGTAGCCTGTTGTAAAACTAGGCAAACATCTAGATGAGTTGATGTACACTCTGAAAGACCTCTGAGTACCCCCAGGTGTACATGTACCCTGGTTGAGAACCACTGGTCGGAATGATTGGCTGAACTACAAGAAGGACTGAGTGGACTTGTAGGCTCTAAAGTTTTACATTGTTTTATTTTTGAATGCAGTTTTTTTGTACATAATTCTACATTTGTAAGTTCAACTTTCATGATAAAAAGATTGCACTACAGTACTTGTAACGGGGGAATTGAAAAATACAATTTCTTTTGGTTTTTACAGTGGAAATATTTCTAATAAAAAATAAATATAAACTGAACACAGTACACTTAGTATTCTGTGTTGTAATTGAAATCAATATATTTGAAAATATAGAAAACATAAAAACATATTTAAATGGTATTCTTTTATTGTTTAACAGTGCGATTAATCATGCGACTAACCATGATTATTTTTTTAATTGCGTGATTGATTGCAATTAATTTTTTTAATCGCTTGACAGCCCTCCCTGACACCTATTGCAGGTGTAGCAGGTCAGGGCTTATTAAGCCCACAGCAGCTTGTTAACCTTCTCCTGGACAGCAGAGGGTTTGTATACCCTGTCACAAGCAATAGCTCGATGGCCTGGTTTAACAGAGGTAGGTCCTCTATCAAAGTGGGAGCAGAATGACATGGGGAATCTTTGGGCTGAGCTCTTATTTCTAAGGTGGATGACTGGTCTCATGCACAGCCCTGATTGTATACTCTGCCCATTGGGACAATATCAACTGTAAATGAGTGATGAGTAAATACCACCCTGATGTGTCCTCCTCCTGCAGGCTCCATCCAGTAGCAGTGACCCTACAGAGATACACAACACAGGAGATTATCCTCCAGGACTATTTCATCCCTGCCAAGGTGAGCTTCCCATTGGGGCAGGGCCAGACGGAAGGAGGGGAACAGGCACCTGTGGAACTTTGGCTTTGTCTCCACTAGATGTCTTAACATTTTCCACTGTTGCTGCTTTTGGTGCCTCTCCAATGGTGGTGGCCAGCGTGGGAGCACAGCTATAGGCTGCAGGGCTGGCCCACAACATTTTGGCACCTGAGGCGGGGAGCTCAAATGACGCCCCCATGCCCCCTAGCTTGGGCCAAAACTTTGAAAGGTCTCAGTTCTACCTTTTTCCTGTTCTACTCCTCTCATGGTACTGCTCTGCTACCTACCCCAATAAAGGAGAACTAAAAACTTAAAATGCCTTGTTCCAAAATTTTAAGTAACCTTAACTTTCAAACGCCTGAACAGCAAATGTAACTTTTCTTGTCTGCATAGTAAACACTGGCATTTTTATCCATTTGAATAATCAAAGTGGTGCTTTCCATGCCTTCTTGGTTGCAAAGATTTGAACTGCTTCCTGAAGGTCCACAGTCTGGGCCAGCTCATGCTCTATTGAGATGGTTGCAAGGCCGACCAGCCTCTCCTGTGTCATTGTGGAGCGTAGAAGTGTTTTTATTAACTTCAGCTTGGAGAAGCTGCGTTCTCCACTGGCAACTGTTACAGGAAGTGTTAGAAGTATGCACAGAGCAACAAAAGCATTTGGAAAGAGGGTGGTCATCTTATTTGTGCACATATATTCCAGAACAGCCTTTGGAGTTGATCCTGCTGAAATGTATCTTGAAAGGGCTTTCAGTTCATCACCTAAATCACTCGCATCAATATCGCGCATGTCATCATGTGTCTCTAGTGCTCTGCATTGCTGGTGTACGTCTTCTTCAGGTATAGTGAGGAGTTTTGGAATATCATACAACATCCCAAATATACTGCTGTGTTCCTTGAGCTGCATGAAACGTTCTTTCACTGACTGTATTGCACAATCTAGCACCTGGTTAAAGAATTCAACTTTGAATTGTTGTTTGGGGTCTCTTATGGGATTATCCCGTGCCTTGTAATCAAAATGTCTTTTTCTTCGGTGACTCTTGTATTCTTGAATGGGTGGGAAAATAGCTTCGGTGTGAAGTTCCTCTGCCAACTTCTGTGCAGTCTTCAGAACGTTTTGAAATCCCTCATCTGACCAGTAAGACTGTAGGTATGACTTTGCTTTGTCCAGTTGTTCCATTGCTCCAGATATATCAAGGTCAACACCTTGGAGTCTCTTGCTTACAACATTTATTTCAAATAGAATGTCATGCCACAACACTAAGCCGCACAGAAATGTGAAGTTATGTATTTTTCTGGTGATTCCATTTCCCTCTGCCACTCTTCTCCCACGAACAGTTCCTGTCATAGCATTATCCTCCATAATGGCAACTATGGCATCATCTATCTTCCCAATTTAGTGTTTGATAGGCTTTATCACCTCCACTCGACTTTCCCATCGTGTGGCACTCAGTGGTTTCAGTGTCAGAGAGGATGTTCTCAGATGTTGCTTCAAAATTTGTCATTGATGAGTTGATGCAGAGAAAAATACATAAATGCTTTGAATTACATTAAAAAATTCAGCAGCCTCACTAGAAGCTGATGCTGCATCACTGACCACCAAGTTCAATGAATGAGTACTGCATGGGACAAAAAAAGCTTGAGGGTTTAACTCTCGGATCTGTGTCTGCACTCCTCTGTTCTTTCCTCTCATGTTGGCACCATTATCATAGCCCTGACCTCTCATGTCAGCTATCGCAATTCCCATATCTTCCAGCTCTTTAAGAAGCACTTTTGTCATACCAGCTCCTGTAGTATCATCAATGTCAATAAATTCTAGAAAATGCTCTCTGACAGTCACCATTGCAGGGACATTTTCACTAGGTTCCGTTGTTGTTACAAAATGCACCATTAAAGTCATTTGTTCCATATGGCTGATGTCAGGTGTGCAGTCCAGAATAACAGAGTAATATCTTGCTGACTTCAGATCTGCCACAATCTTCTGTTTGACTTTTGTTGTCAGTAACTGTATGATCTCATTTTGAATTGTTTTTCCAAGGTAGTGGTGTGTGTACATTTCTTGGGTGGTGACTCTTCTTAGATGCTCCTGGAGTACAGCATCAAACTCAGCCATCAGCTCCACAGTTTTAAGGAAGTTTCCGTTGTTTGACACATACAGCTGATCTGAAGTGCTAGGTTTTGGGTAGCAAGCATTCTCACAATGGCAGTGAGCCTTTTCAGAACATTTTTGCCAGTAAAGATGCAAATCTGATGCAATCTTCTCTTGATGCTGATCATCTATGGTGGCCTTTAACCTTAGTCTCATCACAAGCTCTTTCCACCTATGGAATGTTCTCTGGTGATTTGCTGCCTTCCCATGGCATGCCAGATTTCTAGCCAGATTTTTCTAGTCCTTTGTTCCTGTAGAACCCAATGTGGCTGGAACATTAGACTAGAAGAGTTTGTAACAAAAACAGTATGCATCATTCTGGGTTTTTGAGTACATAAGCCATGGCCTCTCCACTTTGCCACCATTGGGGATTTCACGCCAGTAATGTGTTGGATGGAAACTTCTATTTTCATTGTCTTTGGGGAACATGAAGTTTTTCACTTGCTGTGGCCCATGCAGTACAAGGAAGTCCCTCAGGCTACTGCTCAAGTGGGTCCACAGTCCTGGATCATCTAGACTTAAGGAACTAAACTCAGCAGCAGCTATTTCTTGCGCCTCCACCACACTCTTCTCCGATCTACACTTTTCTTCAGGAATGTGCATGGTTACATCCATTTGAGATGCAGATATGGATGCTGCAGTAGCTGCCAGGTCACCTGCACTCTGACTAACTGGAAGATCAGGCATCTCCTCACCACTCACATCCTCACTGGGGCCGGAAGGCTCACAGTGAACATTTGTGTCTATTTCAGAGTAGCAGCCGTGTTAGTCTGTATCTGCAAAAAGAACAGGAGTACTTGTGGCACCTTAGAGACTAACAAATTTATTAGAGCATAAGCTTTTGTGGGCTACAGCCCACTTCTTCGGATGCATAGAATGGAACATATATTGAGGAGATATATATACACACATACAGAGAGCATGAACAGGTGGGAATTGTCTTACCAACTCTGAGAGGCCAATTAAGTAAGTGAAAAAAAACTTTTGAAGTGTTAATCAAGCTAGCCCAGTACAGACAGTTTGATAAGAAGTGTGAGAATACTTACAAGGGGAGATAGATTCAATGTTTGTAATGGCTCAGCCATTCCCAGTCCTTATTTAATCCTAAATTGATTGTATCTAGTTTGCATATCAATTCCAGCTCAGCAGTCTCTCGTTGGAGTCTGTTTTTGAAGTTTTTCTGTTGTAAGATAGCCACCCGCAGGTCTGTCATTGAATGACCAGACAGGTTAAAGTGTTCTCCCACTGGTTTTTGAGTATTATGATTCCTGATGTCAGATTTGTGTCCATTAATTCTTTTGCGTAGAGACTGTCCGGTTTGGCCAATGTACGTGGCAGAGGGGCATTGCTGGCACATGATGGCATATATCATATTGGTAGATGTGCAGGTGAATGAGCCCCTGATGGTATGGCTGATGTGAATAGGACCTAAGCTGAGCTGGAATTGATATGCAAACTAGATACAATCAATTTAGGATTAAATAAGGACTGGGAATGGCTGAGCCATTACAAACATTGAATCTGTTTCCCCTTGTAAGTATTCTCACACTTCTTATCAAACTGTCTGTACTGGGCTAGCTTGATTATCACTTCAAAAGTTTTTTTTCACTTACTTAATTGGCCTCTCAGAGTTGGTAAGACAACTCCCACCCAGGGGCGGCTCTATGTATTTTGCCGCCCCAAGCACGGCAGTGAGGCAGCCTTCGGCGGCATGCCTGCGGGAGGTCCGCTGGTAACGCAGATTTGGCGGCATGCCTGTGGGAGGTCCGCCGGTCCCGCGCCTTCAGCGTACCTGCCGCCAAAGCCGCGGACCGGCGGACCTCCCGCAGGTATGCCGCCAAAGGCAGCCTGACTGCCGCCCTCAGGGTGACCGGCAGGCCGCCCCCCGTGGCTTGCCGCCCCAGGCACGCGCTTGGTGCGCTGGTGCCTGGAGCCGCCCCTGCTCCCACCTGTTCATGCTCTCTGTATGTGTGTATATATATCTCCTCAATATATGTTCCATTCTATGCATCCGAAGAAGTGGGCTGTAGCCCACGAAAGCTTATGCTCTAATAAATTTGTTAGTCTCTAAGGTGCCACAAGTACTCCTGTTCTATTTGTGTCTATGTATCTCAGGAGAGCTCCTTGCTGCTTAGATAGAAAAGCTTCCTTTGCTTTCTTTCTTTTTCTGAATGCTGCCCCAGAGGGGCGTTTTCTTCTTTCACTCAGCTTTTCTGTGCCATCTATAGTGGCTTTCAGCACTGAATTGAAGGGGACAAATAAGCAGGCTGGTAGCAGGGCCTGAGTGAGGCATCTTAAAGGCCTAACTGGCTCCTACTACTTCAATTGACTGCTTGTTCTCCTCAAGTGGGTTCAGGGCAGCAGCAGGAAACAGGAAGCTCCCTGAGAAGCTGTTGTTAATCAGTCCAGGCTCCTGGGGGTGCTAGAGAGGTACATAAGAGGCTCCTCCTCCTCTCTCTCCTTGCAGCTCCTGCTGCTTTCTGTTATTCCCTCTCACCTTTTCTCCTGCCTGCCTGTTATGTCTCTTGTGCCCTTCTTCCTCCAGCACAGCACTCCACCATCTCTGTGCATCTAGAGCAGAGAGAATACATATGCACCAGCAGCAGACACAATTTTCTACACTCTGGGTCCTAGTGGTCCCCCACCCCCCACAGTCTGGCACCTGAGGCGGCCGCCTCAGTTCGCCTCATGGTAAGGCTAGCAATGATAGGCTGCCCCGGCCATTTTAACCATTGTGTCAGCCAGATCTAGTGCAGAATACCCATGGCTTGTAGCAAAGGCCCCATTCACAGCCAAGGGAAGATTGTAGATAAGCACTGTTTAAAAACTTGCTTATGGCCAACCAGGATTGTACCAGGCTTGGGCTAGTCAGTGATGCCAGGGTTGGGGCACATTAGCTTGGTGTTTAAAGAAAAGATCTACCATGAATCTGAACCCAGCCCAAAGCACAAGCGCCTGGGCCCATCCAAACTGGCTGGCCAAGGCATGGGAATCTGGGCTGAGCTTTAGAGACACAGCAGAGAACTCACAGCCCGGGGGGGCGAGGGAGGGGCACTTTAAACTACCTTTGCGCCTGCCTGATCCTGGGTTGCTCTGGCGGCTGGAGTGTCCACTGCCCAGGGGCCTGTCTAACCTACAGCAGCCTTCATAGCCTGCCCCACAGAGCACTGCTCTGCCGAGAATCTCTGCTGCACCTGAGCCCCACACATGTCCTTCAGAAGGCAGCCTTCCACCACACCTGCCTGCACTGAGGGAATTCTCCCCCAGCTGGATATGGGACCCCTTCTGCTGTTCCCTTTGCCCTTTTACCCAGTGTAAAGGGGTGGGGGAGGGAATTCACCTAGTGAGTTTAAGCCGTGCGTAGATATGGACCTTACACTCAGTTGTAAGAGCACTTTAGATGGGCCCAAAGAAAATGGGGGAACTAAACGTGTGGCTGGCTGGAGCAGACACAGGCTCTGAAACCATTGCCAGTTACAGAGTGAACAGCGCACAGCCTCTCTGCGCAGCACATACAGCAGCACTCTCCTGATGGAGCATACCATTAAAGTCAGTGTCACCCACCCTGAGGGAGGGCTGCCCACCAGGCCCTGTGTGTAGATCTCTGTTTGTGGTGGCACAATGGGCCAGACTCACCCCTGGTGTAAGGGCAGATGCTGTTCCCTCACATTGTGACTGCAGTGTCACTCCCCTGTCATGACTGAAGTCTGGCACAGCCCCTGTGATGGATGCCTGCTGGGAGAGCTGCTAGCAGTCCACTCACCCTCCCTCCCCTCTCCTTTGCAGACTCTAGTGCAAGTTGGAATTTACGCTATGGGCCGTGATCCCAAGTTCTTCACCAAGCCAGAGCTGTTTGATCCGGCAAGATGGCTGAAAATGGACTCTACATACTTCAGGGGGCTGGGCTTTGGCTTTGGGCCACGCCAGTGCCTCGGTCGCAGGATTGCTGAGCTGGAGATGCAGCTCTTCCTGATCCATGTGAGTCTGACACCTTCCTCCCTTGGCAAAGCTGCAGAATTTGCAAAGCACCTTGTCGCTGAGGCAAGTTCCCGGCGATGCCAGAGAAGGGCTGTGGGCAGCTGCACAGAGAACCAGGGGAACCTAGGGCTCTGTTGGGAAAGAGAGAAACAGAGGTCTAGGCACTTGGCTGTCTGCGTGGCTTGCACAAGTGGAATGAGCATTGCATGGTAGATGGTTCAGGCAGCTAAAGCTGAAAATTACAGTGCAGGTGCATGTGCCAGCAAGCGCCCCGCAATCCAAACTGGGATCTGAGGGTATGTCTACACTGTACATTAAGCTGGGATCAGATTTAGGTTTGAGCCCAAGCCCCCAACCCCCACTTCCATCCACACACAAATCAGTCTGACTCAATAAGCACTCAGGACCCAGATCTTAGGACCCTGCTAGGTGAGTGGGGCTGAGCTGGAATCCTGCTCAAGCCCTGTCATGTTGCAGTGTGGACACAGCTCAAGCTGACCCGAGTCAGACAGTCTGTGTAGCTCACTGACTGTGGACATGTTAGTACGGCGTGAGACCCGGTTCCAGCAATTGTAAACCCAGGTTTACAATGCAGTGTGGCTGCTCAAGCGTGGGCTTGGCAGCACCAAGGCCACAAGCCCAGATCCCACAGATCCTGGTTTATAATGCAGTGTAGCCATACCCTGAGAGTCCTGCTAGAAGCGTGCAAAAGATTAGCAACAAATACGCAAAACCAGTCCAAATCAGAGGGAGGTCTTTCTTTCCACTGGAATCAGCATGATCCAGCAGATAGTGCATTGGTTTCAGAGTCCTGGTGTCTAGGCCCAGCTTTCTCAGTGTTCATGGATATTCACTTCATCTCTCTGGCCCAGATACACAAAGGTATTTATGCACCTAATGCCCACTCATTTCAATGGTGCCTAAATACTTTTGAGGTTCAGGGCCTCTGTGTCTTAGTTTCCCCAACTGTGAAATGGGGCTAATAATAGTTGCCTTCCTTTATAATGTGCTTTGATGTCTGCAGCTAATGAACATGTTGCAAGGAAGGCTGATCTGGTGGGTTGGGTGCTAGCCTGGGGCTCCACAGATCCAGGCTCAATTCTCTGCCCTGGCACAGGATGCCTGTATGATCTTAGGTAAGTCACTTAGCCGCTCTGTGCCTCAGGTTCTGCAGCTGTACAGTGAGACTAATAACAATGCCCTGCCTCCCAGGGGTGTGTGAGAATAAATGCATTAAAGAATCTGAGATGTCCACATTCACCGGTGATGGAGGCTACATAAGGAGCTTAGGGCTTGTCTATACTCCTGCTTAAGTCAATGACATAACTTACAGTGGTGTCTACTGCATCTCCTACCGACATAGCTTCCACCTCTTGCTGAGGTGGAGTAATTATGTCGTTGGGCAAGCGCTCTCCCATTGACATAATGCATCTGTGAGGACAATCGTAAATTAAAAATGGGAAAAAGATACTTGTAATAATATTTCATGGAAAATTTAAAAATGATCTGCCAAAATCTAGCTAAGGTCATGAATTTTCCTTTGGCTGATAAGCCCCTTAGAATGTCAGGGTTAGAAGGGACCTCAGAAGGTCATCTAGTCCAACCCCCTGCTTAAAGCAGGACCAATCCCCAGACAGATTTTTGCCCCAGAACCCTAAATGGCCCCCTCAAGGATTGAACTCATAACCCTGGGTTTAACAAGCCAATGCTGAAACCACTGAACTATCCCTCCCCCCAGTAAAAGCTGGCTTCACAATGCAGGCTTCCCAAGTCACATGGTTTGTTTTATGGCAGATCACAGAGAATTTTTGCCAGTTTTCTTGAAGTTCATAAAAAAGCAAAACTAGAGGGGTACAAAATCTTCCCCAAATGAGCAACATTTTTGGGTGTGCACATCATCTCCTGCATGCACAGATGGAGAGCAAAGACCATCTAGTGCAATGAATACAAGGACATTTAAAGAATGTCCAGCCCCGAAGTCAAAGACTAGGGATAAAGTCATTTCAACCCTATTCCACAGTGGAGCTCCCCCACACTGCCTTCTTCCCAGAGAGCTCCCTTCTCATCCTCTGGTTATCAGGGTCATTCACCTAAGGCCCCACTGAACATCCTTCTTAGTGGAGAGTGGTGGGAGGTAATGCCACACATCTTGCTCAGTCCTGCAAATTTCCTGCACTGGGGTAGTCAACTCTGAATCTTCCAGAGGGCGATAGTGGCTTGTGGCAAGAAATTATTGTGCCACAAGTTGAAAAAGTGGCACATAGTGTCTTGCCACTGTCTGGCTCAAGTCAATGGTGCTTCTAGTGTAGGTCAGAAGTGGGGGCATTGGCAAAGCTGTCTGGGGAGTTGCGGGAAGCTTGCACAGCATCTCACTGCAGCCACAGTGCAATGAGACCTTCTCCTCCATTTGTCTCATTGGTTGGAATCAAGATGAGTTTGCATCTCTGACAGATTTTCATTGTCTCTTTTGTTCTATTTCCCAGATGCTGGAGAACTTCAAGATAGAAACCAAGAGAGGAGTGGACATTGGTACCAAGTTTGACCTCATCCTGATCCCAGACAAACCAATATGCCTTACGTTACGGACCCTGGACTCCCAGCCATGAATGGAACAGAAGCTACCGCTCCCCACTGATTCTGTGACAAGGCCGGGCCAATGGGTGATGGAGCCACCGTCAACCCATCTTGAGCCAGCTGAAGAGCTGTCACCTGTGTTTGGGACAATCTGTACATATGATGGAACTTTGTTTCTAGACATAAAAATTAGACTCTAGTAAGGAGAAATGAATAGGGGCTAGGGGTGGGTGTGATGGGATTCCCCGGGGTGCAACTTGGAACTGGGGTACCACTGAGCCCTCTGACCTGTCAGCCTGGGCTCCCTCTCACACTTTAATGCCATGACAAACCTCTGGCAGGTACTGCACTTACACAGGCATCCACAAGCAGGGACACACCCAGCTGAGTTACATGAATGCTTCTCCAAGCCACTCATGAACTAATAGAGAGGCTCCAGCCAAGTCTCCCAGCTTTCCAGCCATACACCCCAGAGTTGTACCATCTTGCCCTGGTTAGAAGCCTGACCAGTGTAAATTTATTACCTGATCCACCCCTCCCTCAATGTGGAGAGGATATAACACAAGCCTTTGTAACTGAGTTGAGATTGCCTAAGCACTTCAAGCAAACTACACCATTTTAAGTAAAGTGTAAAACAGATTTATTAGCTACAGAAAGATAGATTTTAAGTGGTAGGCATAAAGATCAGAGAAAGTTATCAAAGAAAATAAAAGATTAAATGCACAAGCTAAATCTTAACCCTTATTACACCAGGCAGTATTTAGATCAGCGATTTTCTCACCCTACTGGATGTTACAGTTCTTAATACACAGGCTTCTCATTAAGTCTGGACCAGTCTCCTCAGATGACCGTCATCTTTTTGGTGTGCCTGTTATTTCCAGCATAGGTGGGGGAGGAGAAAGGCCAAGATATGCTGCAACTGTTATACCCTCAATCCATGTGTGTGGAAGATACTTGCCCAGACATGTCCCAGTGAGCTTTGCTAAGTCACAGTGATCAAGTAAACCCCCATTGTGTGGACTGGGCAATTGTCATTGAATCGTAAGTCCCTTGAGTACAACATCCTTGCTGATTAATGGTCATGGAACACCATCCTGGCCAGGGGTCCTTTGTATGTCACTAGCAAACTTACAGCATATTTAAGTAACAACCATACAGTAAAAATCTCATACTAATGCTATACATATTTGGACAGAACGGGTTTTAGCAGAGCATGATTTTTCATATAACTTACATGGCATGCTTTGTATGAAATATCACAATTACATGACAGAGGTGAAAATGGGGGTTACAGGGTGCTATTTTCAGGTTATAGTGTTTCACAGTGGGGTGGGAGCTCCAGGGACCTAACCCAGGCTTTGTCTGGCACTGCCTTTGCTGCTGACCAATGCAATGGTCACTGGAAGATACAATCTGGCTAGGCAGCTGAAGGGTGCTAACTGAAGTCTCCATCCTGGACATAAAATGTGCCTTTGTGATCAAATTCCTCCAGTGTTCAGGGCAAAGTAGAGACTGTCCACAGTGCAAGATGAATGTTCATGCAGGTCCCCTGGCCTGTAGACCTCTGGAACACAGCCCCAAACCCCAGGCATGGAAGTGGCAAAAGGATCCAGACATTTCAAGCAACCCCAATCTTTTGGGTTCTGGAGTGTTAGCAGAGTTAGTCAAGGTCACCCTTACTGTGTCAGCACAGTCAACGCTGCCCTCCCACGTGCATTGGAATGGGAAGATGCCCAACAGCTTTCACCCACCCACATCACAGCCTTTGCAAAATGTTTCATAGGCACCACTGCTTTACCCTCCTCCCACCATTGTGTTTGCCAGTACACTGTCTAGCTGGGATAAATATAATGGTTTGTCTTTTTATAGCACTCGTCAGCTGAAGGTATGTTGACACTGATGGTGTAGTTGCTGCCTTGGGTAGAGGTACCCAGGTGTCACAGACTCACAGGTCTCGTGCTCTCTCCCGGCTCTGTACGGTACCTGGGAGGAATCCACTTCAGTGCGACAGCCCTTCTTGGGGGGGTCCACTCTCTCTCGGGGGTTAAGCCGTAGGCCCCTCCGCTTCCTGGAACTGCACCTCTCTGACCCTCAGCATGCCTGTCTCTCAACGTGGGTCCCCTCTGGGAGTCCACTCACTCTGGACCCCCGGGGCCTCCACTCCCAGAGGGAATAAGGCAATCCTGATCTCTAGACCGGAGTGACTCTCAGCTAGAGTAAAACAGAAGGGTTTATTGAGCATATGAACCCAGCACAGACAACTCTCCGGGCCCTCAGGCCTAGCATCTCTCAGCACAGTACATCTAAGTCTGTCCCGCATCCAAGTGGGCTCTGGCTGCTCTCTCTCTGTCCAGTCCAGCAGCCCCCTCCTTCCAGACAATCATCCAATATCATCTCCCCCAACATCTCCTCCCCTGTCCTTTGTCTTCGGTCCCAGGTAAACAGGTCACTGTGGCCTTTGTTCCCCTCTGGCTGGAACTGGTTGGTCAGGTCCTCTCTCCTCAGCCCTTTGTCCTCCCACTGGCCAAAACTGACTGACTGCCAAGCTGGGCTGGGCCTCTTAGTCACCAGGTCACCAGTTGTTAGGGTACCCCATCTTCAGGCTGTTGTCCAGGAGTCCCAGCTAGCTGCTAGGCGAGGTAACACCTTGTGCTCTGCAACAACAAACCCTCTCTCATCACCTTGCTAAACACACAGCACACAGGGAAACTGAGGCGTGCACACACTATTCATGTAAAACACTACCAAAATCCCCAACTTCATCACATCTCTCCCCCACTTCAAGTCTGAATTGAGTGGGGTCACTCCAGCCAGTGACCTGGGGAAGTTCAGGCCCCCCTCTCCAGGACAAAGAATCAGCTATAACATTCATGCTCCTCTTAACATGGACCACCCCCCATATGATCATCCTGGTGGATCAGACTTCACCTTAGGAGGTTGGCATTAGGCCTTTATCTGGTGCAGCCATGGCAGGGTGAGTGGTCAGTGTACACCTTAAAGCACCGCCCAAATAGATATGGCTGCAGCTTTTAAAGAGCCCATCCCAAGGCCAGGCATTCCTTCTAAATGGCTGTGTAGTTCTGCTCCCAAAGGAGCAGCTTCTTGCTCAGGTACACAGTGGGGTGTTTCTCCCCCTTTGTATTGGCCTGCATCAGCACTGTGTCCAGTCCTCTGCCTGAGGCGTGTTGGTGAACACCCTAAAGGATTTGTCCATGTCTGGGTTTCATAGAATATCAGGGTTGGAAGGGACCTCAGGAAGTAATCTAGTCCAACCTCCTGCTCAAAGGAGGACCAATCCCCAGACAGATTTTTGCCCCAGATCCCTAAATGGCCCCCTTAAGGATTAAACTCACAACCCTGGGTTTAGCAGGCCCATGCAAAAACCACTGAGCTATCCCCCCCCGAGCCCCTGGACTAGAGCCTCCTTCAGTGCACAGAGCGCCCCCGGCACTGTTAGGTCCAGACCATCTTGTCTGGCTTGCCCAAATTACAAAGCTTCATAATGGGAGCTAAAGTGGGTTACAAAGCTTCAGTAGTACCCTGCTATCCCATTAGAGATCTGGGCCTGTTTCTCGATTTGAGGAATGGCCAATCTCTGGTTACCTTGACTGGTTCTGGCTTCAGGCAGCTGCTTCCCACCTTGTGGCCCAGGTATGACACATCTGCCATCCTCATCTTACCTTTTCCGGCCTCTACCATCCATCCTGGAGGCGTCCCAGGCTCCTCTTCACTGGGACACTTGATTCTCCCAGGTTGGGCTGAAGACACAGATATCATGAATGTATGCTAGGGCACAGTCCTCCACCCCCCTCAGTAACTGATTCTCTGGGCACTGGGAGGTGGCAGGCACCCCCTTGAGGCCAAAAGGTAGGACCAGGACCTCAGAGCCCTATAGGGCTGATGGGAGCAGATTTCAACCTGGCAACTGGGTCCAAAGGCACCTGCCAGTAGCCCCTGGTGAGATTCGCAGTAGTGAGGTAAAGCCCCCTCCACACACACACCTTGTCTAGGATTTTTTTAGTCCTAGGCATGGGGCAGGCATTGAACATGGTGATGGTATTGAGCTTCCAATAGTGCACACTGGGTCTGATCGACCCATCTTACTTGGGGACCAGCACCACAGGTGAGTCCCAGGGGCTGGAGGATGACTGGATCACCCCTAATGCCAGCATGTCACTGACATCTCTTTCCAAATTCTGGGCTGTTTTCCCGGTGACTGTGAATGGGGAACATCTCCCGTCCCCCCATGGACAGCTAAATTAGTGAGCCCAGGCCAGGTGGTGCCCGGCTCTGCAGGTGGGCAGAGGTTAGCTGGTCAGAGAGGGGAAGTTATTCCAGGAGGAGGTTGGCTCCTGGCTTAGAAGAGAGATTCACTTTCCCCTTCTCCTTTCCCTATCCACGCACACGGCTGTACCAACAGTCTCCCTGTCAAAGTACAGCTTCTTTATGTCGACATGGTACAATTGCCCAATTGGGCAGATGCAGCACATGACTCAGCTCGTTGTTGGTTTCACAGGGCTCTTCCCAGGCACCATTTGCACTGAGCTGAGACCCCTCTTCTGGTCCCCGATCAGGCACATTGTTGTACCAGCCCTTTTGCCGTTCCTGGGCCCCGGCTAGGTTCTTCCTGACCAAACCCATGAGCTCAGTGAGCTTTCCCCAGAACGATAGTTCAGAATCCACAACTGATTCCCCATTTGTTTCTCATCAAGTCCAGGGGTCCCCTCCTTCTCCTTCCATACACCAACTCAAAAGGGTGGACCCCTGTGAATTTCTGGGGCAGTAAACGTTCTGCAGCAGCTCTTGCCGGGTGCGCTGATGTTTAGAAGAAGGGACATCCCACCATTGGTATTTCTGTGGGACCACCAGACATCCTCTGATCTCCCACATTCACTTTTCCCTCAGGGAGCCCTTTTTTAGTATTGGGTCACTTTTCTCACCTGGATCCTTCCCTAGGATCTTGCAAGGCCACAAGGCCCCCACTTTTTCAAGGAGGGATTCTGCTGCAGTTAGTTCTAGAATTCAGCTGCTG